AGACTTATGTGGCAGTGAGGGCGCAGTCGACCGGCGTGGCCCAAGCTGTGCCTGGCTCGGCACTCGCTAAAAAGTCGCGGCCCAAAAAGCCCAGGACTGAGGCAATTTTGGTCAAGCCTTTGGAAGGAAGATCATATGCCGAAGTCTTGGGTGTTATCAAGGCCAAGGCTAAGCCAGAGCAAACCGACACGGTTGTACGGTCGATTAGACAAACCCGGGACGGGGACGTCCTCCTCGAACTGGGTAAGTCTAAAGATAAAGCCGCCTTTGCTGCCGAACTAAAGGCAGCTGTGGAAGGTCAGGGCACCGTTCGTGCTCTCGAACCCAAGACGTCCGTCGAGGTTCGGGGTATGGATTGTGTGTCAACGGAGGATGACGTCATTGATGCCCTAAAAAAAGCTGTCCCCGAGCTTGCCGGACAAACGGCTAGTCTGAGGGTGTGGCTCACGAAACCAAACCGGAGTCAACAGCGGATGGCGGTCGCCGAAATGGCAGACGCAAACGCCAGTAAGGTTTTGGCACTCCAGCATTTGAGAGTCGGCTGGGTCAACTGCAGGTTGAGACGGAGGGTGGAAGTAACGAGGTGTTTTAAATGCCTTGATTTCGGCCATTCCTCCCGAAACTGCGAAGGGCCCGACCGAGGCAAGAACTGCCTTCGATGCGGGGAGGTGGGTCACACTCGTAGGGACTGTAAAGTTGAGACCTGTTTCCTCTGTAAGGAGAAAGGCCTCAATGATAAAAACGCTAAACATATAGCTGGGTCTGGGCAGTGCAGTGCATTTAAAGGCGCACTACAACAAGCGAAAGCCCAACCACGAAGATAAGGATCCTCCAGTGCAATGTAGATCGATCCAGGACGGCTGACGCGCTTCTCAGTCAGCTTGCCCTCGAACACGGTGTTGACGCGCTCTTGGTCAGCGAACAGTACCAGTACCGGGACAGGGACCCATCTCTTTGGTTTCCCGATACACTTGGTACTGCTGCGTTCTGGGTTCGTAATACAGCTAAAGTGCAGGTGAGGAGTCACGCGAAGGGCCGAGGATTCGGTTGGGTCCGGTGCGGGGATGTCACTTACTTTAGTGTATACCTCACCCCCAACGAGGCTATCCGTGACTTTCGTGGAAAGATAGACCGCCTGGAAGAGAGCGTGCGCGATACCGCCGGGCACGTTGTCGTGGCGGGGGATTTCAATGCTAGGGCTGTCGAGTGGGGAATGACTCTCACTAACTCCCGGGGGAAGTACATCCTGGACTTTGCTGCCAGGGCTGGACTTGTTGTCATAAACGAGGGCAACACGCCAACTTTCCAGCGTCCCGGAATGAGGGGAACGATCCCAGACATCACGCTTGCATCTGAGTCCCTCTTGCCGAGGATACGAGCCTGGAGAGTCCTAGAGGATTATACGGCCAGTGACCACCAGTACATCATTTTTGATGTCATGGATAGTCACCAGAGACAAGCTACCGTGTCTCGGCAGGTGCCCGTTCGGTGGAACACCAAAAAGCTGGACGTGGCCAAATTCACCGAAGTCATACTACGGGGAGAGCCAGTGGTACCTGCTGCATCTGGCGTGGCTCACGCAGAGACATCAGTTACATCATTGATGAGGCTGATAGTCTCGGCCTGCGAAGAGTCAATGCCTTGCAGGAGATCCCGGTGCGATAAGCGACCTGTGTACTGGTGGACAACCGAGATCGCAGAACTGCGACGGGCAGCATTGAGAGCCAGACGTCTTGCTACCAGGGCCAGAGAACCTGAAGATAGACGTCTTAAGTCTGACGCTTACAAGGTGGCTAGGAAGTCTCTTCGCCGGGCCATTAACCGGAGCAAACGCAGTTGCTGGGAGAAATTAAGGGACGATGTCGATTCCGATCCGTGGGGCCTGGGTTACAAGATAGTAACCAAGAAGCTTGGCACCCGCTCTCCACCTTCCGTTATGGACGGGGCCTCTATGGAGAGGATTGTAAAGTCCCTTTTCCCGACTCACACACTGCGCCCATTGCGGGAGTTCGGAAGGGTGGACGACGTACCGCTTTTCAGTCTCGAGGAGTTGGAGGCGGCCGTTCTATCCCTGAAGAACAACAAGGCTCCTGGACCGGACGGGGTACCTGGTGAGGCCCTGAAGAAAGTCTTTTCAATAAATCCACAAATCCTTCTGAGCACGTACAATGCCTGTCTGGCCGAGGGGAAGTTTCCCTTCTGCTGGAAAACAGCTAGGCTTGTGCTCGTGGGGAAGGGAAAAGGAAACCCAGACCTACCCTCCTCTTACAGACCTCTCTGTATGTTGGACACTGCTGGGAAAGTCTTGGAAAAGTTGATCCGTTTCCGACTGAATTCAGCCGTGGTTGCTGCAGGAAATCTATCCCCTCGTCAGTACGGCTTCAGGAAGGGACGGTCAACGGTTGACGCTATTGAGGAGGTAAAGCGAGCCGTAATGAGAGCTGAGGACTTTAACAACTATTCTCGTCGGGTTGTGCTGCTTTTAACACTTGATGTGCGAAACGCATTTAATTCCGCGAGGTGGTGCGATATGCTGGACGCACTGGAGAACACTTTCCACGTCCCGGCATACCTCATGCGCATGATAGAGGACTACCTCCGGTACCGCCTCATCATTTACGACACTAGAGAAGGCTCCAGGACGATGGATGTAACTTCTGGTGCTGCTCAAGGATCCATACTGGGCCCGGACCTCTGGAACGTCGCCTACGACAGCCTCTTGAGATCCGAGATGCCTGAGGAAACTGTCCTAGTTGGGTATGCAGATGACGTTGCGGCTTTAATAGCTGCACGTAGCATTGAGCTTGCCCAGCTGAAACTAAATCGAGTCATGCGAACCATTAACGCATGGATGGCAGAACATGGTCTCTCGCTCGCTCTGAGCAAAACTGAGATTGTGATTCTGACTAAAAAGAGGATTGACACCATCGTGCCTTTGATGGTGGGGAACGTTGAAGTCCAAACCACTCGTGCCGCAAAGTACCTTGGGGTCATGGTGGACAGCAAGCTCAGCTGGCGAGACCAGATCACCCGTACGGCGGACAAGGCCGCTAAAATGGTTTCTTCTCTTAGTCGGTTAATGGCCAATGTCGGAGGTCCACGGTCCAGCCGCAGAAGGCTGTTGATGTCTGCGGTCCAGTCCGTGCTCCTGTACGGTGCGGAAGTCTGGGCAGACGCTCTCAATAAGGAGGTATATAGGATGCGGCTCGCCCGAGTGCAGCGTCAGGCAGCACTAAGGGTAGCATCTGCCTATCGAACAGTGTCCGAACCAGCCGTCCTGGTGGTTGCTGGAGTCATCCCCGTCAAACGTTTGGCGGCGGAGAGGAAGGCAATTTATCAGCGCCGTGGGGAGGACCAGGCAAGAATTGAGGAACGCACCCGGACCTTCCAGCTGTGGCAGGAGAGCTGGGAACAGGAGACAAGGGGGCTCTGGACCAGGCGACTGATACAACAGGTCCAACCTTGGGTTAATCGGCGGTGCGGAGAGGTGAACTTCTACCTCACCCAATTTCTGACGGGTCACGGCTTTTTCCGGTCGTACCTGTTCAGGATGGGCAAAGCCGTGTCACCCGATTGCATATACTGCCCAGGCATTCCCGATGACGTGGAACACACTTTCTCCCACTGCCAGCATTGGGAAAGGCCCCGCCTAGAGGCTCAACAGTTCGTAGGACTGCTGTCGGTGGACACAGTCATACCGATGATGATGGAGGGTGAGGACAATTGGACCTGTGTGTCACTTTACATCCAGGGTGTTCTCCGCGCCAAGAAGCTTGACCTCGACCGGGATGCGGTGTAGGTCAAAAAATAAATAATGCCAGAAACGGTGCGAGCCCTGTGGGCTTAGGTCACATGTTGGCCTGACTTGAAGTAATGTGACAAACAATTCCAGGTCTGTGTCCGACAGAGTAGAGGGGGTTTTTTAGTGAGTAGTCTGTGATAAACTCAGGAGTCTCACACTACAGGCTGGCTACCTGTGTGCGTAAAAGCATTTTCCCTCCTCACCCTAAAAAAAAAAAAAAAAAAACTATCATGGTCATGTTTCTTGACTTCTATATTTAGATAGACAGTTAAGTTGTGCTTTTAACCGTTTACACCCACAGCAGAAACCAAAGTCATTTCATCCTTTCTTCATTTCTTACCAGATGTATCATTAATACAATAAATGTAAATTCCAGAACTTCTTTTTAAAAACATTCCAACAACAAAATAGTAAAGAAAGCTAAGCTAGGTCCAATCAAACAGCTAAGGGGACTGATGAACTGAGGTGGGACCATCAGAGATCGGTGGGTAGGACTCGTGACGGGAGCGGGAGAACCAAAAGGTCGATTCACACACATCAGTTACGGCACGTTGCAGTCGGCAGTCCAGTCACTTCAGTACGTCACAGTTATCAAACAGCTGGGTAATTCACATAAATGACACTTGCCACAGTAATTTTGATTTTCTTTGGATAATTTTGAAAAGTTTAACTATATTTAAGATGTTATTATTGCAATTTTCTTACAATTATATATTATTCTAAGTAAATTTGATTATTGTTGATTTTTTATAAGTACAGGATAGATATGGTGAGAATTGACATAAATATTATATTGTAACATAAAATAGGATGATATTTCTGTGGGGTGATGGGATATTATATAACATTGAACAAAATTGGTTAAAATAATACATATTAACAAGGAGAAACATATTAAATAACTGATAACACATTATTAGGGGCATTAACAAACATTTTAGGAGAAAACACACAAAATAATAGAGAAATTAATGTTTATGATGAATGAACTGCATGTAATATTACACGATACCTATTGCATGTACATGCTAAACGGAAAATAAAGATTTTGATTTTCATTTTCATTGTCCTGTTCTACCCTCTTGTGAAGTAGCCTGCCTCAACTAAACGTGGGACAGGCTTTGCCCACTGGTAAATGTTAGCTGATATTTTCAATAGCATGCTTTTTCACAGACCATAACACAAAACCTGGAATAGATAATCTTATACAGGATAAATTTATTTTATTAAACAACCAAAAATAAAATATCTCATCACTAAATCAATAACCATTGCTAATTTAGTTCACCATGTGCAACTAAAAATGAATAGTATCACCATTACTACCAACCACTATCACAGACTTAACAAAATATTATAGAAGATGGGGATCGCCAACTAACTTATTTAAAAAAAAAAGAGTTCCAGGCAGTTAACAGCTCACAAAAAGTTACAACACAATTAATTTGATATTTCACCTCACAAGTCACAAGGAAGCTTCTTCAGAAGGAACTAAGAAAGGAAGAGGAAGAGGCCTTTCAACAGTAGTATTATTTCAAAGAACCCCCCTGTTGTAGGGGTCAAATATAAAATTGTGTTGTTTGTGTGCTGTTTAACTGCTGGATAGTGATGTAAAATACCCGGGTATTTAAAACTCGGGGTAAATACTCTGGGTATTTACCCGGGTAATTACTCTGGGTATTTACCCGGGTAATTACCCAAAATCCATAAATACCCGGGTATTTTGGGTATTTATGAAATCGATTGAAATTCATTTATATTTACCCTAAATATGTTATAGTTATCATTACATGATAAATTAGGATAGTCTTTAACACCTTTTACAGTAACTTGAAGCTTTGCTAGTACCTTTTAATGATTTAGCACTTTTTTAAAATAATACCTTAAGTTTTTAATTGAGACTGGGGTTTCGTGTCTTAAATCGAGTAACATAAGTTAAATTTAACTTACTAAAAAATAGTTTATTAAAAAAGGCTTTCAATTTTTATAATTTTATAGATTTATAACCAATTAAACAAAATTATTTGAATTTATAAATATCCAGGAATTGTTGAAAGATTTATTGTGCTATAGATTCAAATGTTTTGTATCACAAGTTCATGAAATTAGTTTTTTTTATTTTGACACCATTGATACCAACAAAAGATCTAGAACAAAATAAAAAAATAGAAAATATTATTAAATCCTGCCATCCTACATATTGAATTTTAATTATTTTCTTAAGTTGTTTACACATAGGCCACTACAAGGTTAAATTTGTCTTTTTTTCTAAATAATAATTATTACTTTACAAATTCTTTTTCTTCACTTTCAATAAAATGAATTCATCTATCTATCATAGAAATTAAAAAATCATAAGTGGTCAGGACCAGTGCAACCATGCGACCAGGATATTTATGCCGATTAAGCTTCATGCTCAGACCTGGGTATTTATGGCGATTATACCCAGAAGTAAAATGCTAGTAGTGACCATATGAAATTTTGTTTGACGCATTTTATCATCATTTTACTATCCTTTCAGGGTAATAATTGCAAAAAAACATCTCAATCTTCTCTAACTTTAATAAAAATTATAAATACCCAGTTTTTGGGTATTTACCCGGGCCTGGGGTAAAGTTTATTCCTTCTTCCAGAGCCGTCCCTAGGGTTGGCGGCGCCCGGAGCAAACCTGGTCGTGGCGCCCCCTCCCACTCAGCAGTAATAGTCGAGTGAAAATTTAAAAACGTACGTTTTCAGGAAAAGCACTTTTAAAATTTTTTGTTCAGTTTTTTGAAACTTTTTTTATATTTTTTATTTCATTGACATTTGAAGTTTCATAAAATGTCCATGGTAACGCAATATCTTTGGTGATTTTTTATAAATAGAGCATCTTTGATCGAAAACACAAAATTTTGTCACGACCATCTCGGACATAAAACTGAATATTAACAATAGTTAATATTATTTTTATAACTATATTTTGCTATAAATTAATTTACTTTTATGGCCATTATACAAATAAGCTTTTGGTAGGTATATTTGGTCTATCTAGAAAAAATAAAAATGAAAAAAAGCCAATAAAATCTTTTAAGTTTGTATAACTCAGAAAAAACTTACCTGAGACCCGAAAAATTGTTATGTTTTTATAGAGGTGTGCTTCTTTTGTGTATAAAACATTGAAATATGATGATATTTTAATTTTTGAAATTTTTATGATAGAAATCATAAACGTGATGGTCAGGGACAAGCGGTACGGTCGTATATTGTCTGGAATAATCTAAATCTTTCTAAACAATCCTTCAATTATACTGTTAGTTATAATTAAAATATGTGTTTCAATTGAACTAAACTGTTCAATTTACAATGATATTTAAGCTATTGTCACGACCAAACGCAGTAAACGTACGTTTTTAAGTTTTCACTCAGTCACATTCGGATATTTTGATACAATGTTAATACAAATAGCAGCTGCGCGGCACCCCCTCAGCCACGGCAACCGTGGCAAGCGCCCCGGTTGCCACTCCCTTCGGACACCCTGCCTTCTTCCTTAATGCAATTCTTAAGGCAAATGCTCCAAAAACGATCACATACTTAAGAGCTAGTCTCTTATAAACAGTGTGTAAGCCGTAATTGGCAAACAATTAACAATACGAATTAAAATACAATATTAGGATTTAAATTATTTCAACAGTGTTGAAATAATAAAAAAGTTGAGTAATCACTGCTGTCTTCTGTCTTCTACTTGTGTTTGACTTTACTCTGCAAAGCCTGCTGGTTTGCTGGACCACCCCACAGTGGAGAGAACACTTTCTTTTCATAATCCCAAATATGTTCTTCTGTTAGGTGACTATTTCTGACATTTGCTGCAACTGCTTTGATTGCTCTTGTGGCACTAACATCCCACTTGACTCGCTCAGATAACCATGCTTTGGCTTCTTCAGCACTGTCAACAACAGCATCACAAAGTCCGATATTCTGAGCCTCTGGTGTTCTTACCAGACGAGCAGTTGATACCAGATCCAACGCTGTTTTGTAACCCAAGGTTTGAATAGCCATTGTCATACCTCCCCAAGCTGGCATGATTCCCATTTTTGCGTGGACAAATCCTAGAGATGCATTTTTTGAAAATAATCTGAAATCACATGATATGGCCAGCTCCGCCCCGCCTCCTAAAGCTGCAAACATGGTACATTCTTGTGAAATTGTAATGTAAACAAAAAAGGCCATAACCAGCAAATTTAAATTGAAAACTGAGTTGCAACAAGTTTTGAAGGAAAAAAGTAGGCCTAACTAACAACTAAGCTTTGGCATCTTATAAATTATAGTACACATTGAAGCAGTCTTAAAATTTGCTGTCTAAGCATTGTGTCATAGTCATAATGATAGAAATACAGTATTTGCATTATTTTTGTTGTTTGCAAATATTGGTGCTTTACAGCAACACTTTTTGTAATCATTAAATGAATTTTAAAAAACAAATTATTTAAATTACCTGTCACGTGGTTTTTAAGATCTGTGTTTTACTGCAACTAAATAATAGTTTATTATTTAATGTGTGGAGAACAACTACCGATGGGGATGTCAAAAAACTATAATAATTTGTTATCGAGTTTAATCTATTGTAATAGATTGCACCTGCCTTCTCCACTTCAATAGGTGCTCAAGAAAGATGACCAGTCAGAAGTTATTGATATTAGTTATAAACGTGTATTCCATCATATAGAAGAATATTTGATTTTGTCATATAAATAGGGATTAACGGGTTCTGAGAAATGGGGAAATTTACAGGATTAATATATTTTTGCCCTTCCAAGATAACATTTAAATTAGTCCGGCAGCCAAATGAGGATTTTGTCCCTAACCTGGTTTTGTTCTATTAAGTTTATTTTATTGTTGATTTGAGTTATTTAGGGTATGTAGACCATAAAACCACCGGGTACTTTTTTGGTACCCTTGGGCAATAGCCGCCATCTTGGAAAATGGCGGAAAACGTAATTTACAGTGTAAGCTTTTACTTAAACCTATGTTATGAAAATACCATGCTATCTACAGCAGTGCGAACTATTTTAAAATACTCACAGTGAAATTCCATGCAGGAAAATATCATATTTTAATTATATATTGTGTATTTTAAGCCCAGTACTTCTTTTTAAAATTAATAATTTAGGAAAAAAATATGTTCTATCCCCATTTTTTTCAACTTTGTGCTAAAGTCTCTTTAAAAAAGGCCATTATACATGTTACAAAAGTTGTAGATATTGAAATTGCGAATCCAATGCACCTATAGGATCTTTGTTGGATCAAGGATAATGTCACAACAAAGCGTAAACAATAAATTTTATTATTTTTTTTCTACTATAAAGAGGGGTATCTAATGAATGAGAATAATTTATATAACTCTTCCTAAGAATATTCTGTAGTTCTTTTCTACGGTTTTTGGTATCAAAATGCTCGGTAAACCAACGACTTTCATTTACGCTCAAATCTTAGGATGATTAATAAGCTAGTTATAACCCCCCCCCCCCCAAAAAAAAGAGTAATTTTAGTTATAAAAAAAGTCTCATCAAAGCTCTAAATCTTTAGTGATAATTATGTTATGTTTTATGTTTTCATATGAAAACAGTCGGTAACGTAGTGGACTTTTTTAACATATTGATATTTGGATTTCAAAAAGTTTGAGGTATACATCATAAATCAATAAAAAATAATTTTTTTGTAATTTGTTGATTTGTAAATTGGGAATAGTCCGGCAGCCAAACAGGGAATTTTCCTTGAACCTTTTTTTATTCTATTACGCTTTTTTATTGTTGATATATAATTTTGGTAGTATTTAGATGCAGAAAATAGCGGGTACTTACAAAGTACCTTTGGGAAACTTCTAGAATTTGAGATAATAATTGCCTATATTAAAAAAATAATTTGATTTTAAAACTTGGTAATTAAGCTATAAACTATGCTTTTTTAGTTCGAATATCATGAAATTTAGTATAAATCCTCGTCATAATGTCCTACTCATAAATTTACCAGATATAAGCCATATCAGTCAAGATTTTTCAAAATGGCGGCGGAAAAAATGGGTTTGATCTTAAAAAATTGCATTTTTTGCCCAATTAAAAAAAATTGTTATACGACCTTGTTACCTCTTTGTTGTTGTGTTTAGTGTTACCTCTAAGCAAACAAAATATAAGTTTTGCCAATTTAAACCTGAGCTTCTTTAAGTTACTGGCAAGACACATTCTTTACATCATTATGATGGCATGTAATAATAATACTCAATCTTTAAGTTAGCTGAATTCCCGTTGCAATTGTGGCTATGCTTGTTAGTATTTGCGATTGAAAAATACAATATGTAAAAAAAATCGATTTCAACATAGTGGAATTTTATTATTTTGTATTGCAGCATAAATATTTTATTTGTGTAAAATTGTAACTTAAATAATTGGCCACATGTAAAAACTTGTTAATAACGTTTCAGCAACCTTAGTGACTATTAGCGAATTTCTCTATAGAAAAGTAGCTATTACCGTAGGTCTCATTGTAAGTACTAGGCCCGGGACCGATTTACTTTTTCATTTTGATGTCCCCCAGAGGCCATGATGTCCGCGAAGACGATGACTTGAGTAATTTTTGTCCGATTTTGATAAAATTTGGTTTGAACGTGTTAAGTTTTTATAAAATCGAATGATTCCACGAACCAGCATGATCGGACCCTGGGAACGGGGTTTAGGGGTGGTTAGATGGGGTAATAATGGGGTTTTCTAATTTTTCCCTTAAAATACAAAATGTATAACTTTTTCTAGACCTTTTTACCAAAGTGTTTTTGTACGGTTATTGGTCACGGAGAAAATTTAAAAAATTGTTCATTAAAAATTTCTATGTTATTTTTATGGAGAATATTGTAAAATGTTGTAGTTGGCTTGTTTTTTGATATATTTTGATCAAACTTGGCAGATTTATTTATTTTATACTAAGCTATTAATATTTTAATAAAAACACACTTGATTAGTTTCCCTGTAGCAGTAAACCTAGGTACTCGTTAAAACATAAATGTTAATTTAATAGATTAATTGAAAATCTATCCAGGCAAATGGAAAATTTAGTCGGCAGGTTTGCTGCAGCGGGGGTATTAACTCATTGTCCTACATTGTCGTAGTCTTCACTGTCGTCTTGAGTTTGTTTTTATCCATTTAAACAGGAATTATATCAACAATGGCAAAATACTGGGCAAGGTAAGCCTGAGCTCACGCAACTATACATCTTTTCAATTCTGTTCACTGGTGTATATGAAGCGCAACAATAAAACAACTTGATATTAATAAACCAGATTAGGTTCATTTCCGAGTTTACCCATAGTTTACTGAGGTTTTCTTCGCCAAAATGAATAACACAGCTCATTTAGAGCTTGAGTTATAGATCTTTAATCAAAGACAGTCCTTAAAAACTGAAAACCTAATGCTAGTTAGAGGTCTACAACTCACCTTAGACACTATATATTTGAATGAAAATTGTCTCAAATGAAAGTTCTAAGTTGACATAGTGTTTTTAGACCGGAACGAAAAACATAGTATACATAGCAGCTGAGAAATATATCTTTAAATACAGAAGAAAGTTAAGAAAAAACAAGTTTTATTCTACGTTTAAGCTTATAACTCGCCCCAAAAACGTCAGATTTCAATAAATAATAGCTCTAAAGAACCACATTAATTCACTGAGTATACTCATAGCAAAACATACAATATCACGTAAAAATAACTGAAGACACAATCATTAACTAAAGATAAATTGTAAAAAATCTATTTTTTCTTTGTGTGGGGGTCCACAACTTGTATTGAACTCAACCGATTTGAATAGTCAATGGCTTAAATTAAAGCCAGTAACTCACTGACTATTTCTAGTATATAACCTTTCATGTAACGTAATTATAACCAGAAGTAATACCTTTTATTGAAGAGAAATCATGGAAAAACTCAAATGTTAGTTGGTTAAAGTTCTATAAATCTCCTCAAACCCGATGGATTTGAATGACCAATGCCTCAAATGAAAGCCAGTAGTTTCCTGAGTATATTATTATCGAAAAAATATAAAATCCCACAATCAGTACTCGAAGTAACAATCTTTTATTCAAAGAAAATTATACAAACATTAAAATCTTTTTTGGTTGAAGTCTTGTAATTCACCTCCAACTCGTTCAGTATCAGTGATCTTGATGTCAAATGGAAGCCAGTTGTTTACTGAGTGTTTTTATTGCAATACATACAACATCTAATAATAATAAATCAATGGGTTGATCTAAATTTAAACTTTCCTTTTTGAAAAAATAACGTTTCTTTGGAGTGGAGATGAATAGATCGGCCTTAAAGTCCTTAAATATAAATAGGTAATAGTTCAAATGAAATTTAGTAATTTTACAAACATTTTAATACCAAAAACAGCCAGGGAGAAGTACCGGATGGTCTCAGCAAAGATGTTACAATTTTATTGAACATATAAAATATCCTTATTTTTCATTGAAAATCAATAAATAATTTATTTTCTAACGCTATGTTCTGAAGTTATCCTTGATCTAACAAAGCATCCAATAGATGTATTCGATGCCAAATTTAAAGGTCTACAATCTTTATCATGCATATTATAGTCATATTTTGAGTAATTAAGGTGCAAAATTGAAATAAAAAGAAATATGTCATTATGTTTTTATAAATTGTGAACTTTGAAAAGTAATACTGACCTTGAAACAAATTATATGTATTTAATATATGGTATTTTTGAGTAGTGAATTTAACCATAAACGTTTGAAAGTAACTTGCATTGCTCTAGCTTAATTAGTTTTTTAGTTACATTGGTTTAAGTATAAGATTACACTGTAATTTACGTTTCCCGCCATTTTCCAAGATGGCGGCTGTTGCCCAAGGGTACCAAAAAAGTACCCGGTGGTTTTAGGGTCTACTAACCCTAGATATCACATATCAACAATAAAAAAAACTTAATAGGACAAAACCAGGTTTGGATCAATTCTGCCGGACTAAATTGGGTTTTTTTAGGGACGGAATTTGTATCAACCGTCAGCAATTTTGTGGTCTTGTAAGTGACGAAGATTACGTCTAAGCTATTGCAGATGACTTTGGTATGGCAGGTGACGATGGTGATGTCTCCATAACCGCGGGAGATTATGACT